GAAAGGAGGAGATAAAACTGTCATTTGCTGACAGTATTTTTTTTACTGAGAAAATCCAAGAAAATGAATAAACTAAATTTTGAAAGGTGGTCAATCAGAAGTGCAATATTACAAACACTACAGTTTTCCTGTTATACACTAGCAATGACCAGGTAGCCAATGTGATAGAAAAAAAATCTATTTCACAAACCAAAACCCAAGGAGGAAAAAAAAATCCTACTTAAATGTAAAGACATTTGGGGGGGAAATTTTAAAATTTTACTAATGCAAATGTCAGTCTTTATCAAATTAATATTTTAAATAAAATCCTAATAAATCTCAACAAGCTTTTTCATAGAATCTTATAAATATCCTAACATTCGTAGAAAAGAGCAGCATGTATGACTAAGAAGGACAATTTACTTGTTATTTATTTATTTATTTTAAGCAGGACAGTTTAGAAAGGAAAAACAAAAGAGAGGGAATTGCTCTAATAGAATCAAGATGCTAATAAAGGTATAGTAATATTTAGAAGGTTTTAATGACATAGGAATAGACAAATGGGTTAAAGGAACAGAATAGACTCCAAAAGTGTATCCACACTTACATGGGAATCTAGTATGATCATAGAGATCAGTGGGAAACAATAAGCTCTTCAGTAATTGATGTTGGGATAATTGATTATCAATATGGGAAAACTACAAATTTTATTCAAGAGAACCCACAAGAGTACCAGCAAACAACCTGTTAGAGTTTAGCAGGGTTTCTAAAGATAAGAGCAATACACAAAAATTGATTGCATTTACATATTAGTAGTAACCTGCTAACAAATATATTTTAAAAATATTACATTCACACTAACAGCAAAAACTAGAAGGTATTTAAGACTATAGCTAATAAAAGGCCTTCCTAGAGAAAATTATAAAGAGGTTTTGAAAAAGGACTCGATGGATATGATCCCAAAAGCACAGCACCAAAAGCAAAAATAGACAAATAGGATTGCATTAAGCTAAAAAACCTATGTGCAATAAAGGAAACAGTCAACAAAATGAAAAGGCAATCTATGGTAGTTATAAATGTAATTATAGTAATAGATTTTGATTGATAATTATGGGGAACGATGAGTGTATACTGATGTAAACAAACACACGCATAAGTAAATTGAAGATAGGTGAATATCAGATTATTGACATAGTTTCAAAGTATGTCTTCACAAAATAATAATTACAAGAGGAAAATAGTGACTATAATGGAGAAAAGTGGCAGATACCAGTTTAGTCAGATGATAAAAGTGAATATCATCAGTAATGGGCTAAATTGAAATCATGTACCACCTCTTAGGATGCATTGGAGAAGATCAGAGCATCTCTTCTATATTTTTCCTGTCACAGATACATAACCTGAACTTAATTATGAGTAATACATGATTTAATCAGACAAACCCAATTGAAGGACATTCTATGAAAGTACTGGCCTGTAACCTTTTAAAGTGTCTAGGTCATGAATTTCAAGGAAAGATAGAAACTGTTCCAGCTGAAAGAGACTAAAGATCGCAATTCAGATTACTGAATGCAAAGTGTGGTACTGAACTAGATCCTTTTCCTATAAATCCATTCCTATTTGGAACAACAAACTTGAATAGATTCTAAAGATTGGATTATAATAACTGTATAATTGTTAATTTCCCAATATTGATAGTTATATGTGTTTGTACAAGATAAATACCAAAATATTTGTGGACTGTTTGGTATCAGGTCAGCAATTTTCAGGTGGTTTAGGAAAAAGGCTGTACTTGTCCGTGCAACTTTTCTGTAAGTCTGATATTGCCCCATAGGTCATTTAGGGTCTTTCATTCATTTCAGGTTTTTTTTTTTTCCTCTGTGTGCTTTGGATTTTTTTTTTTTTTTTTTGGGGTACGCGGCCTCTCACTGCTGTGGCCTCTCCCATTGCAGAGCACAGGCTCCGAACACGCAGGCTCAGCGGCCGTGGCTCACGGGCCCAGCCGCCCCGCGGCATGTGGGATCTTCCCAGACCGGGGCACGAACCCGTGTCCCCTGCATCGGCAGGCGGACTCTCAACCACTGTGCCACCAGGGAAGCCCTGGAATTTTTTTTTCCTTTGTATTCAAGTTCACTAATCTTTTGTTACAGTTTCCTGTCTTCTGTTAAGCATATGCAATGAATCTTTCATTTCAGATACTGTATTTTTTAGCTTTAGAAGTTCCATTTGGGTTTTTTAAAAGTAGTTTACATTTTTCTCCACATAATGTTTGTTTTTTTAAGTCCTTTAGTATATTCATAACAGCTGCTTTGAAATTCTTGCCTACTCTTTCCATGGTCTCTTTCATTTCTGGATCTGTTTCTATTAATTGTTTCCATTTTCTTTCCTGGTTACAAATCACTTTTTTTTTTTTTTTGCTTCTTTGCATGTCTAGTAATTTTTTATTTTATAGTGGACATTGTGATTATTACATTGTGGTGTCTGGATCTTGTTCTTTAAGCAGTGTTGAATTTTGTTTTGGCAGGTTGTCAAGTTACTTGCAATCAGCTTAATCCCTTTTTGTTTTGTTTTTTTGGCCGTGCTGCATGGCACGCAGGATCTTAGTTCCCTGACCAGGGATTGAACTCATGTCCCCTGCAGCGGAAGCACAGAGTCCCAACCACTGGACAGCCAGGGAATTCCCAGCTTGATCCTTTCAGTGCTTGTTTTAACAGCTTTGTTAGGGAGCTTCTGGAATAGCTTTTACTTAACTGCTAGTTTAGTTCCAAGACATGACTCTTCTGAGGTCTCTACTAATGCTCTAGGTGTTTACTCTGGCTGGTCGGAGCTTAAATTCCTCTGCACTTTGTGAGCTTTGGGTGTTGTTTAGCTTCCAGCTTTTCTGTGCTTGTACTCTGCTCAGCCTCCTGGAGTTTTAGGGTACATATGTATAACTCAGTATTTAGCCAAAATCTTAAGGGCATATTTTGGGAGCTTTTTGTATAGCTCCCTTGTGTCTGGTGTTCTTTAACTCCCTTGAACTCCAAACTTTGTCTCTTCAAGTTCAGCGAGACGTGGGCTACCCCTCCTTATACCTCATTCTGGAAAGTACCTTACTGATTAGCCAGGGATTACAGTCTTGCATTACTTGCTGTTCAAAGTCTGAAAATAGTTATTTTGTATGTTTTGTCCAGTTTTCTAATTCTTGATGGCAAAAGGGCAAATCTGGTACTAACTATTCCTTCCTATTTGATCTTTTAGCTGAGTTTAGTTGTATTATTTTCTCACTTAGTACTATGAGCAATCTCAGTGTAGATGGTTGAGCTGATCCAGTGTCAGGAATTGACAGTATGAATGTGATCAAAGGACAGAAGGATCATTGTTGGGAGCGCTGGCAAGAGAATAGTTGAAGTAAACGCAATAGTTCTCAGAGTATGGTTTGAGGATCCTTTCAGAGGGTCCATAGGAGTTTCCTACTTCTAACTAAATATCCATATGAAGCTGATTTTTTCTTCATATACATGAACCAAAATAACACAAACAGTAGATTGAATGCAGAAGCAAAGATGAACATCAGCCTCTTAAGTTAAACCAGATATTAAAGAGATTTGTAAAAATAATGAAACAATGCCAGTCTTCTCACTAAAATTTTTTTTGGTTTGGTATTTGTAAGCATGTAATAGGTTTATTATTTTTTTAATGAGTTAATAAGTAAACAAATAATTGTGAAATTTTCTGTTTTATTTTCTAATACAGTAAATATTGATAAATATAGCCCACAAAAACAGAAGAATTGCTGAAATAAAGCACCATAAAGTGCTGTCTAGGGAAGGAACTGAAGGCATTAGGAGTGCAATAGACAGTGTAAAAAAAGGAAGGGATTAAGGAATGAGAGGTTTCTGTTCAGTTCCTATTCTCTGTTGGATAGGTGTCAATTTCTTTACTTCTCTGCATTCTCGCGTGGAGGTTCCTGCATTTAAAGTCGTAGGATAGTACTCTGTCCCAGCAACTTCTTAGGTTTCTGCTTTATGATACTATGCACTCAGCCCTTGCACAGGGAATCCTGATTTACTGTCTGCCATTTCACCTGGCAATGTCTTTTTCTAGTTTGCCCTCCTTGTCCTAATGAGGAACTAGATCATCCTCACTTATGTTCTGGTATTAACTTACCCTTCTGTTCTGGTGCCACCAGTTTTACTTAAATTTCCCATTCTTTTTTTTTTTTTTTTTTTTTTGGTAGTGCGTCCCTC